GACCTCTCTCAAGCTCATTATTGCGTGTTTGAGTCGTGTTGGAATCGTGCTCTGCCCTGAGAACCTCCCCCAGTCACGTCCTTTCCACTTCTAATTAACGGGTGAGAAAAATCCTCGGGCCTGGGCTTGCCCCGCCGATCCTGACCTTCACTCGACCGATCCACGATCCTCACGTAATTGCATCTACATATTACGAGATATTCGAACGTGACTGAAATCCATCCCTTCATCTCCCGAAAGGGGTATGAACCTCTCAGATCGTTTCATGAGTCAGCCAGGGTCACGAATAACATGTCGCTCGAGTTCAATCCCCCCACTCTCTTCTCTGAGAAATTGTCCCAATTTAAAAGCCATGTAGTGGCAATTATATAGATGGCGGTCGTTGAAATCTAAATAACAAAAAGGAATTCCGACCACTTTCAGGAGAGTAAGTAAATGGACGAAGAATTATGACACTGGAAGGGGTTTTGACTTCAATGGAGTGCACAACGGCCTACAAGTCTTCAGTGAAGATTGGTCGGTTATAAAACGATCGGTTGCATTCTCGTACCCCCTGGTGAGGTGGACCTCTTAGTTCAAGGTAGCCCAGATCGCCAATAAAGAGGAGAAAGAATGGTTTTATAGACAGGCAATCTGATGGGGCTATAGCTTCAAGGCGTTGGTGCTTTGTCCGTGGCCGGCCGCGTATGCTCGTACGAGATGTAAACCTTCTTCAAGTTCACTCGTGTGGAAGCCATTTAAGCCTTGGAATTCTTTCTCTAGCCATCGGTTGAAGCTGGACTAAAACTTGTCATTCTGCTCCATCCATCAATCCCCCTCTACCATATTAGTATCCCCAGAGACACGGGGACATGTAATAATCACAGGGGAATCCGCTTCCCCTGGAGGGGAAATAAGGACTGTCATCAAAAGAAAACAAAAAAGGGAGCCGTGCCGTGCCCTAGCGACGACGGAAATGTCCAATTACGGCCCTGGGAACCTGGGGGCTCCGGCTGTGATTCACCTAGGCTTCGTAATTGGGGTTATTGCCAGCCGAGAGGGAGAGAGAAAAGAGACTGTTACCAGAGGCGGACCTTCGAGACATCCAGCCTCTATATTTTTCTTAGGAACTCCATTCAAGTCCTGGGAGAGAGTGTAGTAGGGCTATCGCATGTGAATGTGGACAATGCCCTTCTCTTCGGGAAGAGACCCCCTGCTGTGCCGTCCGGCCGTGAAGATTCGCTGAACAATGATCTTCGACCAGAATAGTCGGACTTTCAAAGAGCTCACTAGCAATAAAAGGGAAGAAATCTGCACGAGGTGGCTATTCGAATAAATTCTTCCTTTCTCTTTCTTTCGAGTATTGTATCCTTCGGATCGGAAATGTAAGTCTTGGGGAGCAAGAGGTCAAAATCTCCCTCTCTGTCTCAAGATATCCCAAGGGCTCATGCGTGCATGTATGGACCCATAAGTCTCAGGTGACCGACTTGCATTCTGCCTGGATTGGATGCTGGGATAACGGAACTGTTGGCTTTAAAAAGAGAAACCTCCCTCTGACTGGAGATGGACGACCGAAGTGTCAGGTAATAAATACCATCCCTGTAGCTTCAGGGTGTCTCTGCTGCAGAACGAGGATGCAGGTAAAACGGAAAGGAAAGGCATTGGCATGGGAGATCCAGGTAGACAAGGTGACCTTCGTCAGAATCTGGTCGGTTGTCTAATGGCCAATTAACAGAGGACAGGAAACGGGAGAGGAAAAGAAAAACTTTTAATGTCCTTCTACGGAATCAGATAAGATTTCCCATCTGACAGCCCGTACATGATACGCATGGGAATGACTTTTCTAATTAGGCTGCTTCTCCAGTCGGGAAAGTAAAGAGAAAGATTGACTACCCTCTATTATGTGATTCCATCAAGGCCTTTGACGCGCTGACTCTACATTGCATACACCCAAAAACATGTTTATTGCGGCCACACGAGATTTCTTGCGCATGAGCCTCGTCATATATACAGGGCGTTCCCGGGAGATGCATCCATTAGAAATGCTATGCCAGAGGGCTCAGAGCTCCGGGTTCCTTTTGTGCATTAATCCAGATAAGTTGATGGCCCAGTCGGATTGCTATCAGTAGCAAGGAGCTTCGGGGCTGCGAATTAAGCTCCCGGGGCTACAACCTTATTACGTTTTCTTCTCTCACCAGTCTCCCGGCTTCTTTGGAACTTATACACGAGAGAGATGGAAGATTAGCTTTTGCATCTAGACTCCGGCAGCACCTGAGCTGAGGCGACGGGTGTCCTTGAAGTTGGTGTTTTTGAAGCCCAACGGCCATTAGCCATTAGGTGGATGATGGGAAGGGGTGGAGAAACCAGGGCGCCTCCGTCATTACATCATTTTGTTGTGAAAATCCCCTTAATTCCATAATGATAGGGAAGAGCCACCGTCCATCATCCCATGTGCGACAGCCCGACTTGTTTGCCGCTCTCATAATTGCATCGTGCTTCATGGGACCACGCTTTATAGGCTCTCATGCTCTTATATATCTCTAAGCATTTCAGCTGGACGCCACAGTAGCTTCCTCTCTCTCTCCATAATAATTCGTGCAAGGTATAATTATATGGGGGAAGAGTGGCGCTGGGATGTTGGGGCCCTCAGAGGCGCACTCTCGCGCAACATTAATTTCACCGCAAGACTTGGACTCCCTGCTCAGGTTGGAATTTTTTAATCGCCGTTTACACCGAATGGCTTCTGCGATCGCAGATGCTCTCGTATTTTGTCTCTTATCTCTTGATCAAGTGTTTCCTTCCTTTCTTCGAGTCCGTGGGGAATGAAGAATCGAGCAGAGATCGTCCGCTTTGTGTATCATCCATCTCCCCTTGATCGTTGGCCGAGGCCATGATACATATTAATCATTGGCGTGAATCAGAAGAATACATACGGGGATCAAAGAATAGCCGCTCATTGGGACTCAAGGTCTCAGGTTTTTTGTATGTACCTGGATCTCTCGCAGTGGGAAGTAGAAGATCGATAGAAAGGGCTAGCTGGGTGAAGGGGTCTTGCTGTCAAGGGGAGAAGAGAAGGAGATACGCCTCGTCAAGATAGTTCTTCCATCTCCAAAGGGAAAGAATGAGTGTCATGATAGCAGGGGAGAGACATTCGAGGGATCCCAGCGTTGAAGTCACCGGCGCATGCATGCATGCATGCATCGTCTCTTTGAATTCCTTCCTTCCACCACTACTCAGGATCATTACATTCCTTGATGGATAACCGCAGATATCAATAACTGTCGTCTTGTTTAAGATGTGTCCTTGTTGAAGAGATGGTATGAGATTACCTGTTTCTTCCGCGCCGTCAATCCCTCACGCGCCCAGGTTGACTTATGGCGATCTCCTTGCATCCCGACGCGTTCATTCCTTGTCCGGGCCCCAGGCACCGCTCATACATCTCCCTCCTTCCCCCAAGACGCAATAGGGAAAGAGAATTAAAGGGGCTACCTGGAGTTATAATAACTTTGTGGGGGTAGTGCTCGGCATACACGAATAAGAACAAGCAGTTATATAGGGAAGGGACATGGTTCCCCTCAAGTGTGATGACCACTAATTCCAGGGTGCCAGTATCTACCTCTGGGGGGATATGAGCATGATTTAGAGGCATGGTATTTACTAAGGCTGGATCTTGTCTGTCCTTTCATTCCATGAGGGATGAGGTAGGGAACACCGGCCGGTGTCTATTTACACTTTTGCACCCCAGTTCCACAATATTTTCACCTGCCTCTTTTTTTTTGTCGGTCCAATTGAGTGGATGTGATTGGATGAGAATAATTGAAGAGAGTAAAACGACTCTCCCCGAGTACAGAGGTATTTATCTTCAACTCCCCCCCCCCCCACTTCTTCTGAATAGCACAAGAATAGGATGAGGAGAAGATAGGATAAAATGGGTATAGGATGCGCATAATGGGATTAGGGTTCCCTTATACGTTAGGTTCTTTATGAAAGGGAGAGATTTCTTCCTGATAACACCTAGGCCTATACAGAGGCCATATAATGAGGATCCAGGCATCTGCTCCGCGGTTCATTAAGGCAGCAATTAAAGGCTCCAATCCATGGTTCTCTCCGCCCCTGTCAATCGTCCGTCTCTATAATATTATCCCGTCAGGGCCTCCCTTTCCTCCATAAGGTAAAAGGATGAACAAAAAAACTTGATGTGATCATGATTACTCGGAGGCGTGTTTGATCACCAGGGTCGATGACTGCATGGCTGGATAGGTTATCGGTATCCCAGATCACGACCCTCTCTCAGGCCTTCTGATTCAGGTCAAAGAATGAGAAGTGGAAGGAGGTAAAAACTCAAGCAGGCGGGAAGTTGATGGCATGGGCAAACATGTAAATGAAGGTGCAATTATACGGGACTAGGATTAATGGAACACCGAGAGAGCCTGGCTCATAAGCCAGGTCAGTGACTTAGAAAAATGAGATCTGATCCTATCGGACGAGAACACACACTCCGCACCTGCCCTCCTTATATGGCCCCGGATCGACGAGATCCTGATGCTTCTGGCTCCCAATTAACAGCCTATAATGAGGAAAAAACCAGCATTCTGGCTGTTCAGAGAGAGAGAGAGAGAGAGAAAGATACAGATAGGGAGAGATTCCTTGGAAAACATGGCATGGGGAGAAGAGGAGGAAGAGACCACCCGAATGAACTCAGAGCTCTTGTCACGCTGGGCTGAAGAAACTCAAGGTTTTGAAACAAAGCCTTAGGTCTCGTTATTATGTCACCTGGCTTTTGGCAGCGGGGGTGCTAAAGGACAGAACTACACCAACGCCGTTCTCATGAGAATCCATGACTTCGCACTTTTCCCCTCAACTGCAGTTGTATGCTCTTTCTTCCTTGAGTTTCCCTTCATCGTGCATGACATGAAGGGGAGAGAAAGAGAGCATAGGCAAAGCCCTCTTCCTAAGACGTTTTCATGCGGGGACACTTCCCACACATAGAATGTGAAGTGATTATTTTATATATGAGAGACATGGGTTGTGAAGGTTTCTGCTCGACTAACGGTATTTTGATGCTGAACTTGTTTTCGCAGGGCACGTGGCGAAAGGCGATGAAATGGCAGATGTTTTAGAGGGAGATGTTGCTGTGTTAGAGTGCCGATTTGAAGCTTCGTTGATCCGTGGGAGTCCCACCACTCTCTATTGGATCAGGACTAACAATGCCGGGACTGACAATGTGGCCATCGGGGACATCCTCCTTCAGGAACACTACAGGTGAGCTCCTATCATCTGCATGCTAATGCCAAGATGAACAATGAAGAAAAGAGAGAAAGATTGAGACATCACCGTATGTATACGTGATGGGATGAAAGAAAGGAAGGTCAGTCAAAAGTTGCAAATGAGAGAAAGCTTTGCAGCTGACAAGACCTAAGGACAGGTTCGTTAAGAGAATCGATACAGACGATACAGTGCACTCCATTGCATTTAGGCTTGGGGTCGCTCGATGAGAAAGAAATTTTCCATGGTCTCCATTTACTCAGTATCTATCTATCTCTTGTGTCGACATAATGGTTGGTCTATGGATATGAAGGGAAGCCCATCTCTTAGATAGGATATTATGCACCCTTCTTGAGATGATTCACTCACTCTTCTAGGCGGGAGAGAAGCCAAAAGTCGAACCCAGACACATTCATCTGCAAATAGCATGTATAATATCAATCTCCCCCTCTTCTTGTGTATGTTATTATGGTGGGGTGGACCTTGTTTATGGACGCAGGGATTGCTCCTGCTATTACCCCCTTTGGCCTGGGGGAGTCTTGTGCCCTCATCTATCTATGCAGGCGCCACTATCACATCAGTCTCGTGTCTCGAAAGAAAACCACAGAGTGAAACAGAGCAGTCCAAGATAGAAGGAAAGCCCAGAGTCAGGAACTTTCACTGGTCATGTGGCAACTCTCAATCTTTCTCCCTCCATCACGTGATATCTCGTTGAGCCCCACCCAAACACGGAGAAGTATAACTGCTCTAACGCATGGTCGATCTTTTTTTTTTTTTCTTCCTACAGGGTATCATTTCATCCAGAGGAAGGTCGCTATGACCTGTACATCGAAGGAGCTACCTATACCCGAGACAATGGAAGATTTGAATGCAAAGTGAAAGAAAGAGGAACTGGGAAGGACTTGTATGCCAAAGATTTTCATCTCACAGTCCTCATACCACCTGGTCCACCCGAATTTTCCCCTCGGACTCCCCTAGTGGTCGAGGGGAATTCTGTAGAACTCATCTGTTCCAGCATCGGGGGAAGTCCAGACCCTCAAATCAAGTGAGTTTTGAAAAAAAAATTTAGTCTTGGAAATGATGTATATATATGTTTTATGTGAATATCTTTTCGAATAAGAACGGTCAGGAGAGGGAGGAGGATAGGAATGGGAGATTGGATATCAGCCTCAGGTGGGGGATGACGATGATGTTAGGTATAGGGGCTTTGTTTGTATCACAAAAGAACGTGATCGCCTTGACCCTGCCCTCTTGTATCTTGTATGTGTGTGTGTGTGCCTGGGCTGTCTTCATGCATGCCAGGGGACTCATCTCTCATGATAAAACACCATTACTATCTCTCTCACATTCATCCTTGGTTTGTTTCATCACTCCATACCTGTCTCGAAGACGAAACACTGGCTCCAGCATTGACATCTTTATAGAAGGGACCATACCTCGTCAACAACCTGTTGGTCACGCAGCCTCTAACCCTTTTTTTAAAATTGAATTCTCTTCTTAAGTGACAGCAATGCCGCCTACTCCAAAGGGACCCAAGCCTATCGACCCCCTGCTTTTTAGATTTTCGCCCTGTATATTGTGACTTCCGAGAGGTCGTAAACAGCTCCAAATCCTCTTTTATGACTGCTCAGACAAGTGAGAAACTTGTCAGCGCCCATTCCTTTCCAGCCCAATGCATCGTGTTCTAACCGTTGAATCTCTCCCTCTTCATGGTGAATGGATTTCAATGAGAGCATGCACGAAGAAGGATCTTCCTCTCGGCCCCAAGCGCGGTCATGGCTAGGAATAGAGAAAGAGCATAGGATTGCATGACGTAATTGATCCCGAGATTATCAGGATTGCATATCGCTGGAGGGTTCTGTTCCGAAATGCATTGCAATCCCACGCTTGTCGAAGTCTCCCCCAGCAAGTCAGCGGCATCTTCTCTTTCCTCTATCTCCCCAAGGTGGTACAGAGAAGGAGATGATCACCCTCTGGAATCCGTGACGTTACAACCTGGTCGAGGAAAAGATAGCCAAACGAAAGCTATCCTCACTTTCACAGCTAAAAAGGATGACGATGGTGCCGTTTTCAGATGCGTCATTTGGAACAGAGCCCTAGAACAAGGAAAGGTCCTTGAAGCCAGGATCCAACTGGGCGTTCAATGTAAGTGCAGATCTGATCAGAATCCACGTGCAGGAGCTGTTCACATGCATAGTAAGTGTCATGCCTTATGATATTACAGATTTCCCGCGAGTCACCGTGGGACCAGTAAATCCGGTCAAAGTCCTCGAGGGTTCCTCCGTTGCTCTGGAGTGCAAAGTAGACGCAAAACCCCCCGCTGTCGGGGTGAGATGGATGAGGAACGGACGAGTACTTTCTCGGGGTTATAGGCACTCCCTTGACAGATTAGAGGTGGCCAATGCCGGCGAATACGTGTGTCAAGCGGATAACGGCTTGGGTCAGATGGGTCAAGGGTCATTAGAGGTGGAGGTTTTGCACGGTCCCAGGGTCAGCGTTCAAGAGAGACTGGAAGTCCGGGAAGGAGAAACGGCTCGATTGGAATGCTCCGTCGCCTCCAATCCTCGCCCCATTCGAGTGGAATGGAGGAAAAAGAGTCAGGGAGATGGGAAGGAAGAGGAAGGAAGTAGTAGTAGCAGTAATTTCCATGTCCAAGGAGAGACTCTTCTCTTGAGACACGTGGAACCCCGAGATGCGGGTTTCTATGTCTGTACGGCGACAGTGATAATGGACCCAGAGCCGAAGACAGGAACAGGGATGAGGATGGAAAGACAAGAGAATGCAACTTCTCAACTGGTGGTTCGTCATGGGCCAGGAGAAGCGGAGATTCGGACTTCGCCTGGGATGGGGATTGCAGGACAACCGTTGACCCTTCTCTGTTCTGCATCTCCTCGTGGTTATCCTCCTCCTGTTTTCACATGGTGGAAACAGGATTCTCCAGGAACCCCACTCGCCATGGGACCCAACCTCACTCTCCCCATCCTCTCTCTCGCCTCTGAGGGTGTCTATCAGTGCAGTGCAAGGAATCAGATGGGACAAGGAAGTCCCGGTTCGTATAACCTGGAAGTCGCACAACCACCAAATCTGTTGAACGTCTTGGAACCGAACGCCATTCGAGAAGCGGGAGACCCTGCCTTCTTCGTCAACTGCTCCGCTACCGTGAGTTCCTTCACTCCATTCTTTCCTTCCTCCTTCCACTTGGTAGTTTAGGATGGGCTCAGACAGGTCGATTCATGGGGTCCTCCACAGGAGATCCCTTGCCATGTTATCCATACGCCCTTGTTTACGAGTGCTTCTGATTTGGAGGATGAGAGAGTTATCCTGCTGGGAACCCTTCCTCCCTAGCTCCCTCACGGCCTCCTATCCCCTTATTTCACCCCCTTCCGCCTGTATCTTCTTCTCCTCCACCCACCCACTGTGGTTATCATCATCCTTCAAATCAAGCATTCACCAGGTAGCCTGTAAAAAAAAAATCGTATCCTTGTTCTCAATCATTTTGGAGGCATCCTGCAACGGCGTTCATTGTCTTTGTTGTCTGGGTGTGTAAATGATGGGGATGAAATGCTTCGCCCTACTCGGTCTTCCTGAACTCTTATGCATTCTCAGCATGGTGCTGCCTGCATGAGGGCTTTTGAGATCACTGTAATGTCAATGGTCATGGAAGTCACTTGAGTTAAAAGGGGTTCCCATGAATTGTTTTGGCTTAGAAAAATGTGGCGAGTCGATGGAGACGAAAAATTGAAATTTGAGTGCAGTGAGACTGATCAGTGGGGAAATTGTAGTTGCCGCTGATGGACGCATTGAGGGGATAAACAGGTCTTGGAACGATGTCATCGCATTCTCACTTACACTCCAAAAATCGCTTCAGAATCGCTCGGTTTTCGATTCATCTTATTGGTTAATGTCCTGGCTGCTGAATCCCCGCAGTGATATGTAGAGTCTCTGATTACTTGCTTCATATCTGGTTCCTTGTTGTGCATGGTTGCAGTATTGACAGACTATGATCCATGCCGTTGACGCCGTGCTTTTAGGGGAAGCCTCGCCCGGAAGTGAGGTGGATGAGGAACGAGGATGAGATTCAACCCGAGAATCCCTTATATGAGATCCAGACAGAGACATCCGTGGGTCGTCAAGGTGTTTTCACCGTCACTTCCCGTCTCTTCTTCCGAGGCCCTGGTCGGAATCCCCGAACACCAGATACAGACTCCTCAGGCGCAGGACACCTCGGCCTCTCGCCTCTCGATGCCGCCAGATACACGTGTCGTTTCCACAATCACGCCGGGGATGCCCAAAATCATCAAGTCCTACGAATTCAACGTGAGTTCCAACCTTTATCTCTTCAGGGAAATGGAGTGGAAAGCCGAAAGGACTAAGTGGGAATGGGATGCCGAGGTTTGAAAAATGGTTGCTTCCTTTTTTTCTCTCCGCTTCCCCTTATCCACCATGAAAAGAGACGTGCTTGCAATGGGCCAGGACATTGACGGTCTGTGTGGACATGGACATGGATGGAGGAGGTTTTTAACGATGTGCAATTCATTTCTAAAGCTTAAAGAGGACACTCGGAGTGGAAATGATAAATGGAACAAGCCACATGACATGTTGTAACACTGATAGTCCACCCCATCTTCTCTTCGGTTGGTCGTAGATGCAATGCGATGCTATGCCATGCTGTGCTATGCCAACCCATGTCAATATCCTTCTTTTTTTTCTCTCTACCTATCTCTTACACCCAGTGAAGAGATTTCTCCTCCTTCGCCTCGCTTGAATGCCCTGATAAATGAGACCCTTTTCCCTGTGAAAAATGGGCTCTAATCATATCCCGAGCTCCTTGCTCCTCCTGCTTCTCGTGCATGCGAATCCCCCCTTTTCAGCTCAACCGGTTAAGGACGAGTATAATGAAGTCCCATTGAAGGCTCAGAAAAAAAGCGTCTCTTCTCGGGAACCAATTTCCGCCTCCCTGGGACTACTCTTCTCTCCTTTTCCGGATCTAAAATGACGTGAAGGGGGGGGGGGGGTATCTGGATCTCCTTACTGGGAATCCTATATCGTCATTGATCTCTTTGTATCCCTTTCTCCCCCTGTCTCACAGATTCACCTATTTGGGAAGCTGGCCCGGAAGAGGCACCTCCTCCCTCCGAGGATTCTTTCCTCGATGTTCATGAAGTCACTTCCGAATCCTGGGAGTCTGTCTGGAAGGCATTTAATGGTCCACTCAGAACTCAGGCGTCTCTGGAAGCCATGCGAGATTTTCTACTCAAGATCGGGAAAGGAGGGAGTTATGGTCACGTAAAAATGGCTGGATCATTGAAGGAAGCTGCACATTTGGAGTGCCGAGTCCGGGCCTTCCCACGTCCGAGGTTCCAATGGTTCAGGGTTCGGGATCGGATAAAGGAAGGCTCAAGGGAGATCGAAGAGGAAGATGAAGTGAAAGGAAGTGCAGGTGGTAAATACGAGAGCAATAGCACGAGCACAGGGAGAGACGTTCATGTGGGTGTTTTGAGGATCAGGGATTTGGTGGAAGAAGACTTTGGTTCTTACATCTGTCGAACATCAAATGCTCTTGGGAGGAGTGATACCCGGATTGTGGTGGGCCCAAGAGGCCCTCCTGACCCACCTCTCCCTCCTCGGGCACTGGCTAGTGGATCCTCATGGATTCTCATCTCCTGGCTCCCTGGATTTCATGGCGGCCTCCCCGATTCCATAAAATTCATCGTATCTGCCACGTCCTCCATCAATCCCAGTCAGGAAACTTTGTTCGATTGCCAGGACAGCAATCCCTGCAATATAACCGGCCTGGATCCCCACACTTCCTATGCGTTCAAAGTAAGACAACATCTCTCGTTGAATTCCTGTAATGCTAACTTGAAAACCCATTGATCTGGAACTCTGGTATTTGCATGGTCCGTACATGTAGACATTGTTGACTTATAAGATTAATGAACTTGTTATTCAGTATGTACCAAACTCGCTGTCGTTAGCTGCTTGATTATTTAATACGTTCGAAAGAAAATGTTCAACCTTTTCTTTCTTCCTTTATTTTCTCGTTTCGGAGGGGGAAAATAAATTTTTTAAATGTTCTCTCTTCCAGGTGCGAGCATTTAACGTCATGGGAAAAAGTGATTATTCTCAAGGATCTCGCTTGAGCACGAGTGATTCCCAGTTGGCAAATGCGGAATCGTTTATCTATGGAAGAGATAAGCATACATTCTCTCTCTCAACTCCTCCTCGGACATTGTTGCCACTAATGGCCGTATTGGAAGTGAAGATTGAAGGCTCTGAGTGGCGTCATTTGTATAACGCTATCCTGGATCATTCCTCGATGGAGTTTTCCCTGGAAGATCTAGATTCTGGTCTCCGAGATAAACCTATTCAAGGACTCAGAGTCCGCCTCTGCAAGCTGGATGACACCAGTGTCTGTGGGGATTCTGCTGAAGCTCTCATAAGTAAGTCCCTCACATATCGTCACCTTGCGTTCTTCTGAAACACAGAACGACTGAATTCACGTTAGGAAGAGGATCTCTGGTTCTACCTGAGTTGCTAAAATGAGGGGACGAGTTCACTCCAGTCATGGTCATTGTATGTGGTAGTGGAAAAGGGAAAAAGTGAATCGGAAGGGGTGTTGATGAGGCCGATGAAAAGAATTCATGTTATCCAATCGCATTCATCTCGAGGTTCCCAAGGATCGATCCATTGTGACTTGTTCCCCTTGCACTTTTATGAGGCACATAATTCACGGCGGAAAAAGGGAAAGAGAGAGAGAGCGCGCGAGCAGTTTTACCAAACCTTCATGAAAGGTCTCTTTCGTGAGGGATATTCATGTTGGAGAAACATGGAAGTCATGTTCGTGACATCCCCACGTACTGCGACTCTCTTATCTTTATTCTTTTCCTAGCCGATGAACCTGGGGCACGAGAGGGGTTCATCCCCTTTCATCCTTTCATCTGTCCCTTCCCGCGTTTTTTCCTGCTATTTCTGCCTCCCGGCGTTGGTAGCATGAAAGTGATGGGCTGGGATCGTTGTATCAGGAACACATCACATCGAGAGCCTCATTCCCTCTTTCCTTCTCGATTTCGCCCCAGGGGAAGACAAGAAGGGGGGGATGGGGGGGGGGGGGAAACGATATCGATTACACGGATATCAGTGTCAGGAGGAGTTGAATGAAAGGACAGGAATGGGATCTTGGAGCCTCTCCCTTGATCATCACGTGTGCTTTTCCACTTCTGCAGTGGATCGCCTGCCGGATGCTGTGTTGGAAGCCGAAGGATTCCCCGTTCAACTTCTGGCAGTCATCGTCGTCTCCTGCTTTGCCTTCTTGGCTCTCTTGCTCGCCATCTCGTACTGCTGCTGTTGCCGACGCAAGGATCCCAAGGCCAAGGCCAAGGCCAAAGACTCTCCACATCATCCCCCCTCTGGGTAAGTCTCTCTGATAGGGATCGATCATGAGTCTCCTTTACTGAATTTATCACCTTCTACCCTCTCATTTTCTACTCCCTCCGTCTCTCGTCTCTCCTGCACATTCCTTACACTTCCCCCCCCCCCCCCTCTCTCTCTCTCTCTGGCTTCTTTCTTCCCCCGTGCTTTCCTTTTTTTTCCTTCTGTAGGGTAAGGCAATTGATGTATGAGTAGGAGACTCAAAAAAGAGAGGCACCTAATGTTTTTGTGTAGCACATCGTATTTTGTTGCCAAGAAAAGGGGGAGTGGCTGTTGGTCAGAAACAGAGAGGCAGCTGAGTTTAGTTAGTGAAAGAGATAAACGTAGGCTTTCTTGTTTCTCAGAAGAGGCGAAATACCGGACCGAAGAAAATGAGGGGGTATAGGCTGGGGGCCCAGCCAGGGCGATTATTTTCCATGCCCGCCTACTGATTGCTAGGCCCAGCCAGGGTTAAAATTTTTCCTTTTTGGAAGCCCCATGGGGGGAAGGGAGGAGATATGATTGACATTCGGTTCCTCTAATGATGAGTCCCGATGACAAGGGGACCTACCCCCCGTCCACTAACCATCATTACCCCAATGGCCCCCATACCACGGGACCTCTTGCGCTCTAGGCTCCTTTTCACAGGAAGGAATTTTGGATAGAAAGTGCAGACTGTGTAGACCCATCCTAAGTTCTTTTATCCTTGTCTCGTGTAGGTTGCCCGTGCCGCCTTCAGGTCCACCTCCTCCTTACTATTCGGCAACGGACAAGGGACTATATGAAGCCTCATCCCCATCAGCAGGGGCTCAGATCCAAGGCTCTCATCATCATCAACAGAATCACAGTCACAACATCTACGGCTCTTATCCGAATGGGGGATCTTACGCTATGGACCAGAGTTACTCGGCGTCGGCATCTCACAATGGGGGATCGGTGAATTCCCAGGATTCCCTGTGGAAACCTCCAGCAGATGATGGATCCTATCGGAATTTGGATCCCGTTCAAGCCCATCATGGTCATGGACTCGGGCTCGGGGATTATGCTCATTATCCCATGTCACACGGAGAACGTGGAGAGCTGTTGGTCGGAGAAGATGGAGCCTATCTTCGTCGAGCCACCGACTCCTTCGGTCTCGGTGAGAGGATTTCCTCCATTCTTCATTCCAGACTCTTAAGACCGTATCCCTAATTGAAAGAGAACGAGAGAGACGGAGTGGGAATTGGAAAGGAATGATCCCTAGGGAATGGAATTCCGATAGTGAACTCCTAGTTAACCCTCGGAATGAAGTTAGATAAAGTGAGATGTGAGATCGTTTTTTTTTAACCTTTTTTCCTAGATGGGGTGCACCATACCCACTCTGGAGGAGTAAGTGGGTTACCAGATCCTTATGGCGGGGGTACTCAAGCTCGGAGCTTCGAAGAATCCCTGGAAAGTGGTTATTCCACGCCCAATTCCAGGAACCGACGAGTGATCCGAGAAATAATTGTCTAGTTCCTTCCCTTGCCATGCCATTCCTTGTTCTAGTCGAGGGGAAAAAAACCGTCTTCGTGAGATGGCGCCGAATTCCACCTGATCTCATGGCACATCCATGTTTGTCCTCTGGTCACACGGGTTTCTCTCTCCCTGATTCTCAACAAAAAAGCGGGAACGAGAGAGGAAAAAAAAAGAGACTTCCCCGCAGATTTTTTTTTGCTTTCTCTTCTACGTTTTTCCGCCAAGGACAGAAGGGAGAAGAGAAAACTTTGAATTTGTTTGCTCAAGTTCAACACGGAGGCGCGGGGCGACAAAGTCTAACAACTTCCCCGTTGTGAACCTCGAAGAAGGAAGAAGAATTGGATTTCCAATCCAATCTCCGATCTTGTGTTTTCGTGATCTCGAAGAAGGGGGGGGAAGGGATTTCTGTCTCCTCATCCTCTTTCCTTTTTTCTCCTTCATACCCCCCTGACTGTGATATCTGTTCATTCAACTCATTCGTGCATTGTCTTTGTCATATATGTGCTGGTGAGAAAGATGTGCTCATAATAAATTGTGGACAATTCCTCTTCTGCCTTTATTTTTTTCTAACCAGGACAGAAGTAATGGTGCGCGAAGTGCAGAAATGAAGGCGGAGGGGTTCACCCATGCAGGGTGCTCAAGGTGTCGGGTTAGGGTGATGGACTAGAAAATGCGGGTTTCTCATTTCAAAGAGGGAGAAGAAACTTGTGGCCCCTCATACGAATCATTTGAGAAGGGAAGGTTTTCGTGCCCGCAGCCTCAGGCTGGGGATTCCTCCCTTCTACCGCATGGACTAGAGGATATCGAGGGTGGGGATGAAACGCCCGAATCCTTGAACAGGGAAAATGTCTTAAGAGTGGGAAGACCTTCTACTAGGCTCCTAACAAATCCGTCGAGTATTTAATGAGCATCGACCTGGGTTCGTTCATCCTTAGTCTAGCTGATAGAGTCGGCAAGAAACGTTGTCGGAGGAAAAAAATGTGAGTGTGGGGGGGATGCGGCACGAGAACACTCCTCGAAACTCCGCCAAAACAGCTCCAAGAAGTGTTCAAGACTGAAGTGTGGAGGACCTGCTACTGGTGGGCTTCTTTGAATCACTCAGCTCTGGAATCCTACCCAAATGAACACGAAAGCTTTTTGGATAAGGGAATTTTTCTTTCGTCGCCTAAAACTTGAACAAGAACATGATGGGATGCGAGGACAATACGCCTGACGAAAGTCGAACAAGCCGACACCGACGGGACTCGCAAGTCAGAATGCCTGTGGAAAAGGTCTCGCTTTAAGCTTACCGTTCTCATCGTATCCTCATCGAGCGTAAAAAAAAAATCAAACGAGGGCAGAAAGAAGTCTGGAGAACGCTGGGGATAATGTTCTCGCTCATCTCCTGAAGCTTTGCCGTCTTCTTTGTTATCTTTTAGCTATTTTCGAAAAGTGGGTGCTCCCCCCTCTTGCCTCACGACGTTACGCTCATGGAGGAGACGTTCCTGAGATCTGAGTGCCCTGTATAATTAAAGATAGAACATCGAGCTAGTAATTCGAAGGGTGAGAATTGGATTTCCGCTCGAACTCTCTCCACGGATCGTCGTTCACTAACTTGACCGAAAATGGATGCCTCTCCATCCAATTCATATTTCTCCTCCGAGTTGCATGCGTTTCCTAAGCCAAACAGATGTCAAGATTGCTTCTCTTGTTAGTTGTAATCTGGGGTAGTATGAAGCAAATATTCTCGTCGACGCAAAGGCGAGCATTAGGGCGATTACTTATGGAACCTCAGTTCTGTTGGGAACGGTGGCTCGCACAAATGTGAGACGTGGAAAACTATAACCCAAGTTTCCTGATCGATGGGGGAGGAATTGCAAGGAAAGGTCATTTCGAGTTGTTCAAGATTTCGCGATATGATCGTGCTTGAAAATTTGCGTGAATTCCTCATCAGTTTCAGTTGGTGTGATGCGAGGAGAATCTTTGATGCAGAGGATGGAATTCCTCCCCCTTCCCCTCCCTCCTCCCATATCGTATCCTTAAATTCCCCCTCTTCTCTTTTTTTTTATCGAAAAAGAAAGTTCTACACGATATCCAATCGAACGAAGTTCTTGCATTATCTAGAATTTGGCACCAAGCATTTAGCACCCTGACTGAAACTCGTCATTCCTTCCTTAAGGCTCCGGCAGAACAAGAATCGCTAAGGAGACGAACGAAAGCTTAAAGAAAAGCGGAAATTACCCTTCCAATATTTTGACACGAGTCTTCGCAACGGAGCGACCCGATAAGTATGATATTATTTTTCAGATGATGATGCCAAACTGGGCCGTGTGAATCGACCTCGTAAGAGTCGAAGAGGTGTGTTGTTCTATAGATCCGAGGGGGGAAGACAGGCTCGGGCAGGGGCATCGCCTTGGTATGGGGAACGGAGGGGAGGGGTCGTCTGCCTCCATGGAAATCCGACGATCTCTGCGCGATGCGGATTCGCTGGATTTTGACACGAGGAAGTACCGAGCAGATGCACGGAACCGTTCTCGTAGAGTGCAGTTCTCTCCGGTACTCGAGACAAAGGCGAGGCAAGAAATAGGAGGAGTGAAATTTACGACTTTGCACGCTTTTCTCCATTTCACACTTCCCTCTCTCTCTCCCCCCCTTCCTTTTATAATTGGTGGGCAGTCCTGGCTAATTCAGGGTGGAAAACAAATGGTACCCGGGAGAATAACGAACTTCGTGCACCCCTATCTATTCCATAGGATGCTCGCGCACACACACACATTCTCTCTCGTGCGCTCTTTCTCCCTCTGCTCATTCCCGTCACTTATGACTATATGGCTCGTGATTTTTCATTTTCCCATTCATGGGGGTTATCGTGGCGTACAGGTGGTGGTAGGAATTTCTGCCATCCACGAGCCTTGTAATTAATTGGGAGTACGGTTTCGATGCTCAACGGTCGTTTCCTCGGGAGGCCTATGCCCTCTGGACTCCAGGGGCTCTCGGCTTTCCGCCTCGTAGGGAGGGAAACGTGCGGAGAAAGATCAAGGTGAATTCATGACACATAAATCGGAGTAACCACACCTCTCTCTCTCTCTCTCTCGCACGACTCCACATATGACCAGGTTTTGTCCGTCATTTGAAGGTCAGAGGAAAAGGGGTGGAGAACGTAGATGGAAAAAAAAACAAGCAGATGGTTGAAGTCGTGTCAACTTATCAGCCAGTCTCGTTTGCCTTGCCATGTGTCTGTGTGTACTGGCTGTATGCAGAAGGGAATGGCCCGGAGGAAAGCAAGTAAACCCTGATCGGGCCAGGCAGGTGTCATTCTTATCGAGGAACTCGGTCGCTCGGCGAGACGGAATAAACAAGAACCTTTTCCTCGAAGATCTTCTCTCTGATGTTGCGTTACCGAATTTAATGATTTTCTCGGGAAGGAGAGAATGATCCCACGGGATCTACTCCCATCCCATCATCCCTCCTCTGCTTCGTTCGAGGCAGAAACTCATATCTTCTCGTATTAGGGGACTCATCACAAACACGGCTAATTTGATTAAAAATCCATCTTCTCTCTGTCTTCCCCTTCCTGTATCCTCGTTGGAGATGAAAGGTGCATCCCTTGGAGGATGCTAAAGGTCGAGAAAGGCAGGTTAATCGAGGCCGATGTCTCCGAGTCTTCTCTGCATGGGATCCGTCTTTTCGTCTCATCTCCTGGGCTAATCACAGGGCTTCCTTTAGAAACGATGTTCGGCGCAGCGGTTGGTATCCCGTCGATCGGATTTTCCGATTCCATCCAGGAAACTGGTTTATTTATTTTTGTCATTAATCTCCCGGGTAGTAGCCTAATTATACGCGTTCTGTTATGAGGTAGGCTCGCAGAAGAACTCGTTTCTTTACCGAATTAGAATTGTCGTTCGCCGTGCTCTGTAGCAGTGCGGGGTATCTAACAACACACTCCACGAATCGATACGTTTAAATCGGGCGCACGGTTTTATTTCCAAAATGCGGCGCATGTGGTGTCTTTCGGCACGGACAGTTCTTGGGCGATCGCCACTTACAAAAAGGGCACTCTGCTGCAGACTGGGCAGTGACGAAATGACCGATTGCGGGGTGCAACGAAATCGGGGGGAAAAAGAGCTTAGGGGGGAGATTTTGGGGCCGATAAAAAACTTTAAATAACTTCACGCAACCGGAATTAAAACGATGATCCCTTGATCCTCTCGGATTGGCAGCCCCAGTACATATGCAAAATTCTGACGCAAGCCGTCCGTTTCCGTACTGTTTGTCTTTGGTAGAGAGGAAAAAAAAGTGACGGTAGCAGGGTTTCTTTCTCTTCGGCCTGGGATCCGACGCAATTCAAATGCCAAAGGCTCCATTCCAGAGCATTTTCGAACAGCAGTGAACTCGAAGAACGGTATTTCGTTCGGATTCCGGACTATTAAATCGAGTATCGAAAAAACGTAAACGTCAGATGCATTCCATGCGAACGAGACGAAACGATCCCGGTCCTCTCGGAAGTGGGGCGAATCCCACGATTTCTCGACGCGAATGGCTTCGATCGATCGAGTCCGAAGCCTTCGACGGCATCGTCCGACGCGTGAGAGCTTCTAGAGCTTCGAGAAGCCTCCGCTTCCGAATAGAGGTAAAGTGCCCTTCGTCGGATCGTCGTCGGCGGCTTTCGATTTTCTTTATTGCAGCTTCGCCGTGTTGCGTCGCGGCGCATACCGAACCGAAAATGCGAAAAACGATGCGGTTTAACGTTCTCGGAGTCTCGTCGACGGATCTCTCGCCCGCGCAGAGCACAGTGTGAGGCGCACACCGGTTCCAACGACCGGACGGCTGGAAGAAGAAGATAAAAAATGGAAAGAAGGAAGGAACCGGCCATGATCTGTCTATTACGAAGATCGATTCGTGGAGTTTATCGTTTGGCCTCCAGACCGCTCGTTCCATTCGTTACTCCGCTTCGACACGAAAGGTCACGGACCGCGAAGACGAGTCGGTCGCGTCTGCACCGCTGGTTTTTATCGTCACCGCTGGCTCGTCTAGCCACCGCTGGCTCGTCTAGCCGCAGCTGGCTCGTCTAGCCACAGCTGGCTCGTCTGGCCCGTCTCGGTGGCGAATCGATGATAGGACCCGGGTGGTATCGCCTGGTGACGGTCTAGTCTTTTCGGGGCTTTCGGGTTAAAAAGAAGCTTCCGTATGAGCACGGTAGTGCGAGGAGTTCCCACAGGACACAGAGAATGCAGGCCTATTTGGAGCCCTTTACAGCCCGAGAAGTATTAGATCGGTCCGGGGAGCCGACCGGATGGTCGGGGTCATTCTCGCCGACATCGTTGCCGAGTCTCCGGCATTCAATAGTTTTATGGGAAGATGGCCCCGTCGTAAGCTAATCCAAGTCGGCCCGGACCCGACTCGCGTGCAGATTGCGTGAGGTAATCTTCTCGCCTTTTACGATCGTCGCTAAATGGGCGCAGCCTTTTGCTCTCGTGTCGAGAATCGAGACTCTCCCGTGAGAGAGGGAAAGTGAGTCCAGACATCGAGGACGATCGTCTTCTCGGGGAATGCAATCCGATGCGCAAG